TGTTGTGTGTGTGTGATAGGACAAAGATGTGATATGATAAAAATGTAAAAGTTTTAAGTTGCTTAAAATTTCAAGTTCTAGATCATGTGATGGGGCAGATAGGTGTCAAAGTAGTTAGAGCGATGGGCCTGGAGTCAGGCATCCTCATCTTCCTGAGTTCAAATCTGGCCTTCAACACTTAACTAGTGGTGTGACCCTGGGCAAGTCACTTCACCTTGTTTGCCTCAGTTTCCTCATCTGTAAAATGAGCTGGAGAAGGAAATGGCAAACCACTCCAGTATCTCTGCCAAGAAAACACCAAATTAGGTTTTTGGACTGAACGACGCAGCAACAACACCACTACCCTTTCCTCATCATGTTTTGGATTCTGGCATTAGTGTTTATCTTCCTGACATACAAGTACTGTTTTTTGTTCCTTCAATTAGACCCTCCTGCTTGATTTGCTGGGGGCAGAGCTAAGATTGATAGAAGTTTTCCTCTCAAAACTTCCTAACCGTTAGAGCTGTCCAAAAATGGCGTGGGAAGCTTTGGCAGGGGGCCGAGTTCCTCTTCAGTGGATGGCTCTCAGCATCGTGACCCAAAGCACTAGATGTGCAGTCTCGTGACCTCGGTTCAGTTCTTAGCTCTGATCCTTTCTAATTATGTAAAGGACCAGAGAGGCAGGAAGTGGGATGTGAGGGGGGATAAGTTTGGCTGGAAAATAGAGGGGTGGAAGTGATTTGACATTAGCCTAGATAGATAGGTTGGAGCTAGATTGTTCAGGGCTTTAAATGTCAAATAGAGGAGTCTGTCATTTATTCCAGAAGCAATAGGATCCCTCGAAACTTTGTGAACAGAGGAATGTCATAGTTAGATGTGTGCATTAGGGATATCGCTCACTAGCCGGGTGGGGAAAGGATTGGAGAAAAGATAGACTGGAGGCCATTTAGAAAGCTATTGCCCAGTAAAGAGCTGAGGAGGGTGTTGCCTTGGGAAAGAGGAGAATGGTACTACTGAAAGATATGATGTGGGGGTGGACTTGATAAAACTTGGAACTGGGTGTGGATTGGGTATGGGTATGCAATAGAGTGAGAAGTCAGGGATGACTCTGAGTAACTAGAAGGATGGTGGTGCCCTCAACAGAAAGATAAAAATGGAGAAGAGGAGAGGGTTTTTGGGGAAAACATAATGCATTTTGTTTTTGACATTTTGAGATTGAGAACCTCATGGGACACCCAGGTAGAAATGTCTAGCAGGCAGTAGGTGATCAGAGGACTAGAGCTCAGGAAAGAGATGTGAGCTGCATGCATATACATACATACATACATACATACACATACATGTACATACACATAAATCTATATATGCAGGCATTTGCATAGAGTCCAGTTTCCTTATTTATCGATAGAGATAATATTTATTTGTACTACCTATCTCACAGAACTTGTGTGAGGGTCAAATGGCATAATGAATGAAACTGCTTTATAAATCTAAAAGAGAAATATACATGTGAATTATTATTATTTAATAAGGTTTGATGACTCAGCTGTAAAAAAATAAGTTGAAAACATACGTAAGGAGTAAGCCATGAGAGAAGTCAAAAGCTTATAGAATATTCAGAAGCCTCACACACACATATGTCATGAACACTTTTTTCTTTCTTTTTTTTTTTTTTAGGCAATGGGGGTTAAGTGACTTGCCCAGGGTCACACAGCTAGTAAGTGTCCAGTGTTTGGTCTGAGTCCGAATTTGAACTCAGGTCCTCCTGACTTCAGGGCCAGTGCTTTATCCACTGTGCCACCTAGCTGCCCCATGAACACTTTTTTCAAGAAGGGAATCCTCAAGTACCAGAGACCAAGAAACATCATAAAAATGAAATTTTAACAGATAGGAAGTAACTTGTCACGGATGTCAGAGGTATTTTTTAACCAGCAATATGTATATAGTCAGACCACTAATTTGTTAGAGCAAAGATAAAAATCAATATCAAAATGGAAGACAAAATAAAAGAGAAGAAGATATGGCTAATAGTTCAGTCAACTTCAAAAGGTATTTTAAACAAGCTCTTGATGTTAAAAAAAATGGGTAATGTATAAAAGAACAGATATTGACATGGACTAATACTGTTTCTTAAGAAAGTTTAACCTTTGTAAATCAACTGCCACGAAATGGAGACTAGAGAAAAGATCCTAAGCACCACAATCACTTGGTTTAAGTATCAAACAGAGAGAGATGACGTCCAAGACAACGTTGGTTTAGAGGCTTTTGTAAGTTCTTCAATTATGAGCAGTATCATCCCATAAAGCAGCAGGAAGCAGTGGAGAGAAAGACAAGGGAAAAACAAATCCACAAGACTGGTGAAAGACCAAACCAACCAAAGTCATCCTGAAGGATTTTTAAGATGAAACTTGGAGGACGAAAAGAAGATGAAAAATGGAAAACAAGTGTAAAAATTTTCATGCAACGTCCTTTCATCATAAATTTCAGTAGAGCCTCCATCTTTGGGCTTTAACACTTCAGTCTCAAGTATGTTATGTAAGGAACTATTGTAGAAATAGCAATAAGAAACAAAGATGGGAAGAGAAGCTGGGCTAAACTAAACATAAATGACCCTTCACAGAGGAAGTCTATCGTAGGGGTGGCCCAATTTTGAGTGCACTGAGGGATCAAATCTCAAGGTACTAGCAAAAAAATCACATGCCTTATTGTTAAATAAATGCAATTGAGAGAATGCTAATAACTACCAACCCATGTGCCCCTTTTCCATCTCTGTGACAATTTTAATCAATCAATGTTTCATTTGGGGAGGAACTGACGGGCATGAGAATTGGAATGTGAGCACTTCAGACATACCTTACTCCTCTATAACCAGCCAGCGTCAAGGACTGCTTCCTCAACCATCAGGTAGTAGCAGAGACAGAGACTGATAATCAAATTCACATTATCATTGCCACTTTTAAGGTAATGCCCGGTCCATTCAGTATCCTGGAAATTACTTTGCATTTATCTTATATTTGATTTTTAGCGCATTTGTGCCCCCTGTTGCCCTCTCTTCCCCCATCCCACAATGATCTTGAGATCATGAAATGTTTGCTTTTTGTCTTTGCATGTGCAGTGCCTAGCACAGTGCTTGGCACATGGCAGTCACTTAATAAAAGCTGGTTGAATTGAATTGAGAGAGATGGCAGATGGATAGTGAGCTGGTCCAGAATTAGAAGGAAGGAGATGGAATGTGGAAATTACACAGTACTTTTTAATGACCCCTCATGTCATACTAAAACAAAGGCCTATCCTTTTTTTTCAACTAGGAATTCAGTTTATTAAAGAAAATTCTGAATTAACTATGAAGAATTGCATATATCCTTAATTCTGCATCTAAGAGGAAGTGATGGGGCCAGGAGATGTGGGGGAGGGGCAGAGCTCTTGTGGCCATGCCAGTCATGCCATTACTCTCAGACCCTGCTCGACCAGGTAGCAGAGCCCTGCCTGTAGGGGAGCAATGGGCTCTGGGAACCAAGGCACAGTGGGCAAGAGGATGTCAGTAGACCTAAAGCACAAGCCAAAGGCATGAAGGGGAAGAGTAAGGCACGAGGAGCCCGACTTGGCTAGACCATGGTGTAAGTGTGTATGGGGTGGGGGTGGGGTGTGATTGACTGGAGGAAGGGTCCCCCGACTGGGGCCTAACTGTCCCACCACCTGTTACATTCAGTTTCCAAGAGATGGAGTGATCTGGAAGAAGTGCAAGAAAGGTTTCCTGGAAGGAGTAAGGCACTGGGGGAAAGGGCCTGAGAACTCTGTGCGTGCTCATGGAGAAGAACGGGCGCCAGGTGGGCCTCCACTCCCATCTCAGCTCAAGCCTCTCTCCCCTCATTCAGGGGGCTTTCTCCAGGGAGCAGTCAGTCCAGGGAGGGCCTCAACAGATGGCCCACCTGCGCAACTCACCAGGCCAGGCCTGCTGTGAGGTAAGGAGGGAGGGAGAGAAAGGCAGCGCACCAGCTCACTGGGCGCCCAAAGGCCTGTCCTTTTAACAAGAATATTCTTCTGGCAATGCTATGTATGAAAATAACTGACATTTGTATAGCAATTTACGGTTTCCAAAGCAGGTTAACACGTGGTTATCTCCATTTTACATATGATAAAACTGAAAGAAATTAATTGATTTGCTGGGGATTACACAGCCAACAATTGTCAGAGGAAGGATTTGAACCTAGCTCTTCCTCACGCCAAGTCCACCACTCTTTCCACTGTGCCACACTTGGTCCTTGAATTAGTTTTGAGTCATTCATAAGGCAGTGGAGCAGCTCAGAGAGGGTGTGGATTGGCAGCAATAAATGTATTGTTCGGTTGTTTTTCAGTCGTAACCAACTTTTTGTGACCCCTTTTGGGATTTTCTTGGGAAAGATAGTGGAGTGGTTTGCCATTTCCTTCTCCAGCTTATTTTACAGATGAGGAAATGGAGGCAAACAGGGTTAAGTGACTTGCTCAGGTTCACACAGCTAGTATGTGTCTGAGACCAGATTTGAACTCAGGAAGGGGAGTCTTCCTGACTCCAGGCTTGGCACGCTATCTACTGTGACACCTAGTTGCCCCAACAACACATTATCAGCTGATAACTGCACCAGAGAAGTGAGAAAAAAAAAAGGATAAAAATGCATAACTGAAAAAGGTGGTCATGGGGTAAGAGCAAGAGATAGCCAATGGGCATCGAATTCGTTCCATTGGTATTCATGCCGTATGAGGAATAAAGAAAGTCCCTGCACATTGGGTGGAGCCCCTTGAGAGGATTTATGGGAAGATAAATAGGGTCAGAGCCTGCACCCCGGCCTCACCCCGTCTTCAAGGAACTTATGATTAATTGCTTAGATATGATATATACTATACATATTTGCCCCTATACATATATGTGCATGTCTATATGTATACACATGCATACCCCTGTACATATATGTTTAAGTACATAATAGGTATGTAATTTAGATAATAGATAGAGCTACACAAAATAATTACCCAAAGCCAAGTAATAAATGAAATCAAGGGAATTTTATTTATTTAGCCTACACTGAATATGGTTTAAAATTTAGTGGAATGGTACAGTGGTCCTTTTGTTGTCGGAGATCGCTCTTCTGGAGCCTCCCTCAAATGACCGTCAGTGTTATTTTGGAGATGGAAAAGGCTATAGAGGTGTCTTCGAACTGTCTCATCCAGAAGCCCATAGACCACAGCATTAATGCAGCAGTGAGTATTGCCAATAATTTTGGTTACTTGGACTGCTGTGTCCAGGTGATAGCTGCTCTCACAATCACTCAGGTTCAAGTGCTCTTGAAAAGTCATAAGGAAAAGCACTAGGTTGTAAGGTGTCCACAACCCCATAAAAACAAGTGACGTGACAAAAATAAGTCTTAAAAGTCCATACTTTTTCTCCTTATATCTTGATGTTTTTTTAATTCTCCAGTAGCAAAAGATAGCAACAAACAGTGGGATGAGAAATCCCAAAATGTTCATCTTTAAAGTCAGAAAATGCTTCCAGAACTTCTCATCCCCTAGAGGATAATGAGGTCGAACAAAGCGGCAGACGTCATCTCTGCCTTCCGTTTGAACTTGGGAAAGCACCAATTCTGGTAAAGAGGCTAGTGTGGCTAGTCCCCACATGCTTGTAATGATGCCATAGGTGGTCTTCTTGGCGGCCAAATGAAATCTTCCCATGTGGACAACTGCCAGGTACCTATGTATTATCAAAAGTAGCAGGAAACACGTGTATCCATAGTAGCCCACTGAGTAGAACCCGGAAACCATTTTACACATTGTATCTCCAAAGTCCCAGCTGTGTGTTGCAGTGTGAATCCAGAAAGGGAAGGTGACCAAGAAAAGGAAATTAGAAATGACTGTGTTTAGGAAAAAGAGGTCCACCACTTCTTTGAGTCCTTTATATTTGACCAGGATTAGCACAAGGAGGGCATTGCCTACCAGGCCGAATATAAATATCAAGGAGTAAATTGTGGGCAGAAATTGTGCTGTGAAGACTTTGTCGTCATGTTTATGGCACTGGTCTGTCACATCATCACTGAAGTCATCTTCTATTAAAACATCATAGTAGGTTGTGGAAGTGTCATTATCCATCTTGGGCTGTCTTGTGAAGGATCTTTTTTCTCTCACTCTGAATAAAAGAAAAAACAAAGCAGGAATAGTAAAAATAAGTATGCTTCCTCTTTACAGAGTTGGTGCTTAGTAGTGGGAAAAACATTGGCCTTAAAGTTAGAAGACCTCCTCTCTCCAGCATTTACTGGGTCTGTGACCCTAGGCAAGTCACTTAAACATTCTAAGTCTCTTTTTAAGAATAGTACTCTTCCATTTACTGTACATAGTAACAACTGGCATTTAGGTAGGACTCAAAACTTGAATTACCTCATCAGCAAAAATGAGGGTGATAATACTTCTGCTGCCTGCTTCCCTACCATATAATGTTAACCAGAATAGCTTTAGTTCTCACATGACTAGTCATTTTCATTGATGTATAGAATAAAAATTTCTCAGAATTTGTCCATATTTTATCAAAGCAACGAATTCAGTTAAACAAGTATTTAGCTATTCAGCTAAATAAGTATTCAGCTCTGTGCATAGTGCTATGGGAGAATTGAAAAGTATATCAAATACCCTCTGAGAAGCTCACAACCATTTGGGGAGTAAGGATGGGGAAGAGAAAAGAGAGGAGTAGAGCAAAACATGTACTCGTGAAATAATTAGCAAATAATAGAAGACATTCCAATAAAAAATGCTAAAGAACCAAGCATCATAACTTATCTAATTCAACTTAACATACACTTTTAAAAGAGAAATAAATATAGATAGTATGTAGTAATTTTTAAAAAGTGTATCTTATTCACCAATGGAAAGTTTCTCATACAAGGCTTGTTATCTTAGTTCTAAGAAAACATACGTAAGCAAGAGTTTGTAGAAGCACACAAAACATATATTGGCTCCTCAGTAGTTAGTTAAAAGAAGATGGCTTACCAGAAAGATCTTCCTATGTGAAATTCAGTTGTTTTCTGACCAACCACTGAAAGAGCCATGTAAAGGAACAGTACATTTGCTAAATAACGAGACTTCTGTCATTTATAGCTCCAGTTCTGAGCCCCGAAGAACAGGAAGAAGTTCATCTCTCTCTTACTTCTTACCCATGGGTCAGCCTTTGTAACTTCCTGAAATAAGTAAACTGAAGGCTTGTGCAAGTAAGTCATCAGGACTTCAGAAGCTTCTGTGAAAATAAAGGAAGTTGTTGTTTTTCTTTCTTTTCCTCCCCTCCCCCAAATCTACCTCTGGCTTTCCCGCTTGCCAACTCTCCTGGCTACCCAAGATAAGCATGTGAAGTGGCCACCCTGCAAAATGGTTTGTAGCTTCTGATGGCTCGCTTCTATTTTAGAATGAGTCTTACATCATTCCATTCCTTATCCCAGAATAACCTCCTTTCCATCTCTACCCTTGAAATCCTACCCATCCTCTAAGGCCTTCTCCAAATGCTTCCTGTTCCTTAAAACCTTTTCAGATCTCCCTGCCGCACTGTGCCTTCAAGCAAGAAATGGTCTCCCTATCCTCTGAACTTTCTTGGCATTACACCTATCACCCAGAGGCTGCCTCCAGTCCACCTTTCCAGACATTTCACAGTGCAGTGCAGGGAATTAGGTTCTGAAGTCAGCCATGTAAGGTAAAAATTGTGTCTAATCAAAATTAACCTGGAAAAGCACATAAATCCTAGGTAAAATACAGTATGGCTCTTTCAGTAGGTATGTGTATCTGGGAAGGGTTTAAGGGACTTGGCAAGGCAGTCTGAATCAGAGAGCAGACTCGACTGAAATGTTGATCTGCTGTGGAAACAATCAGATGGAAAGTTCATTCTTCACAGCACCCAGATATTAAGAAACAGGCAGCGGCCAGGGCTTTTGCTCATATTTAAAAAAAAGAAAAAGCTATTGAAGGCTGAGATGGTAGGAAGAAAATACACTTGAAGGGGCATTGCAATGAAGTGAGATTATAACAGAGGGTGATCACAGCCCTCACTGTTTCTTCTTCCTGCTTTACCATCAGATAAGGGGGGATATGGGAGCAGCTGAGTGGTACAGTAGATGAAGCGCCCGGCCTGGGGTCAGAAGACTCCTCTTCCTGAGTTCAAGTCTGGCTTCAGACACTTACTAGCTGTGTGACCCTGGGCAAGTCACTTAATCCTGTTTGCCCAGTTTCCTCATTAATAAAATGAGCTGGAGAAGGAAATGGCAAAGTATTCCAGTATCTCTGCCAAGAAAACCCCAAATGGGGTCATGAAGAGACAACCACCACCACCACCACCACTATAAGAACAAGAGGAGAAACAAAGGTGCCAAAGGAAACACTTGAGGGGCATCCTAGTTGACCAGGAATTCCAGGAAGGCAAACTTAGGGTCTCCTTTTCATTAGCTTATTAGCTCTGTCAATCTACACAGAATGAATAGACTGTAAACATAATGAAGAGAACTATGACGAAGGAAAAGGAACATGCAGGTCTCCCATCTCACACCCTTGGTCATTCACACTTTGAGTGGCAGAGCAGCCAAAGAACCTGCACTATTTAATTTCTTTTCTTTTGTTGAATACATATGATTGAATTCATATACATCAACTATTTCTATCATGTGACTACATTCTATTTCCCTTTGGACATTCTGTAAAGATAGCCAAATTGGGTCTACCTGCCATTACTATAACTCATCATTCTATCCCCTGCCTTCTTGCCTTTTCAAAAACTACCCCACATGCTTCCCTTAAGACTCAACTCAGGTGGTGCTGCTTCTTACAGAAAGCCTTTCTTGGTCCCTTCTTTTTACTACTCTGTCTTTCCTGAGATTAACTTTCATTTACATACCTGTCTGCATCTTGTATCCCTGCCTCCTTGAGAGCAGAGATTATTTTTCAATTAGTCTTTGTCTCCTAGTACCAAAGATGAGTCTTACACGTAATAAGTACTTAGTAAATGTTTGTTGAACTTAATTTAGTAACATACTTAGTAAATTCTACTAATAATAGGTGGAAAACTCCTTGAAGATAAGGAACCATATTCTTAGTTACCTTCAAATACCTCTCAGCAGGTGCTCAAATACTTGTTAAATGAATCTGAATGCTATGCTTAGGCATGACTATTTTAAAGATGATTGCTACATGTTAGATAACACTGTGGTATAGTGGGTAGATAACTGGCGCTGGAGTCAGGAAAACCTGGTTCCAGTGTCCTTGATGTGTGGTCCTGGGCAATCCACTTAACCCTTTAGTGCTTTGGATGCCTCTCTGAAGACTGTTAGTTATACAGAAGAACTGTTGATCTGCTTGGGTAGAGGGAATTCTGTAAACCGATGAAATCATGAATATGAACAAACAAAAAAAGATGACCAAAGAAAAGCTGATCTCTACCCTCAAATATCTTACATTTGTCATGAATAGCTTATCATCCATAATTCATATTGTCTTCAATACCTGCTCTGACCAAAAGTCTTAAAATCTTCCCATCAAACCATAGGGGCAGCCTGCTCTATATTGGAAGCCTTCAGGGGCCACGTGTCAAGGCAGAGCACTATAATAATCAGAGTATAACTGAAGGCAATGTAGCCTAAGGGAGAGAAGATTGGACTGAAAGTCAGAACTGGAGCTGAGTATCAGCTTTGCCATTTAGTGTGTGACCTTGGGCAAGTCTCTGAACCTCAGTATCTTCATCTGTCATATGAGGAAGACAATCTGTCTTCCCACCTTTGCATGTGATGACATTCTACTTGTTTCCTTGCACTCCATGATCTAGCCATAATGGCCTACTTGCTATTCCTCAAACACGGCACCCTGTCTCCCATCTCCTTGTCTTTCCAATGCCTATTCTTTATGCCTGGAATCCTCTCCCTCCCAATCTGACTGTTAGAATCCCTGCCTTTCTTTAAGACTCAAGCACCATCTCCTTCAGAAGGCCTGTCCTGGTCCCCCCAGCCATTAGTATAATCAGCTACTAAGATAACCTTCTAAGGTTATCTTATATCTTCTCTGTATTTATTATGTATGTTCTGATTCACATACGTTGTCTCCCCATTCAAATGTAAGCTTCTTGAGGCAATGGTCTCTCTCTGCTTTTTATTTATATATTTAGCAGAATTCCTGGCACATAGTAAATGCTTGATTGATCAGTCAGAGCCTGGGAGACAGAAGTAACACTCTTGGTTTTCCAGGTCTGACCGTATTTTCAGAGACAGAGGTAAGTAACTCCTTTACTGGAATTTCCATGCCTTCCTAAAGGTTGCCCTCTGTAGTCCTGCTCCTGGGTCAGTGGTAGGCCAAACTAAAAGTTCAGACACATCACACCACACAGTCCATGGCAAGTCCAGTGCCGCTCCCTTTTAGGAGCCTGCACTCCAGCAGACCCTAGCTGCATTATCTTGGGGCCTTCTGTCGTGCCTAGTGTAACTGTTGTGTTTTTTGTTGAGGGACTGTCGCCTCTTCCTGTTGTCTGTGTAGTGAGTCAGATGTTTGTTCATAAAGACTATGAATGAGAGCACCAAGTCTCTTTTAAGTGGTCCTACGAGTTTATAAGTTCTTTCAAAATACTTCTATCAGCACAAACGCTGACTCAGAAGGGACATCAAAGGACACTGAAACTAACCCATATCAAACTTTTCTTCTACAAAAATCCCTAGAAAGTGGTGGGTGGTGCATTTGTTTGTTTTTTGAAGACCTCTAGTGATGAGGAACCTGCTTCCTCCCAAGGTCACCCATTTTACTTTTGGCTAGCTTTTGTTGTTAGGACATTTTGCTTGCATGAAGCCTGGTATCAGCCTCTCTGCAACTTCTATCCAGTACTTTGGGACCAAACAGAGGCAGTGTGGTACAAATGAAAAATGCCTCCTGGCTTTGAATCCTTGTTTGTCAGTCATTGCCAGTGTGAACGTGGTTATTCACGTAATTTCCTTGGACTTTCCTCATCTGAAAAATCAAGTAGTTAGACTAGATGATCTATGAGGTCCCGTCAATATACACTCTCATCCTTAGTCCACATCACAACTTTTCAAGTTTGTTGTTGTTGTTGTTGTTGTTGAGTTGTTTCAGTTGTGTCTGACTCTTGGTGACCCCATTTGGGGTTTCCTTGGCAAAGATATTGGAGTGGTTTGCCTTCTCTTTCTCCAATTCATTTTACAGATGAGGAAACTGAGGCAAACAGGGTTAAGTAACTTGCCCAGGGTCACACAGATAGTAAGTGTTGGAGGCCACAGTTGAATTCAAGAAGAGGAGTCTTCCTGACTCCAGGCTTGGTGCTCTACACAACCGAGCTGATGCTTTTTAAAAAATGTTGTCATTTCCCCAAATCTTTCCCATTTCTGCCTCCCTCTCTTAATGCAGCCAAAGATCATAACAGCTTTTTGGATTGCCAGATCCTATTTCTGACTCATTGAGCTTGTGGTTAGCTAAATCTCCAAGATCTTTTTCTCAGTAACTAGCCCTGTTTCCTCAACTGTGGTTATGTGAAGTTGAGTTTTTGAACCCAAGGAACACCTCCTCCTAGCTGTAGATGACTATCAATTGGCAGAGGCCATTTACGTAGACTATTTTTTTTGTAGGCAATTGGGATTAAGTGACTTGCCCAGGGTCACACAGCTAGTAAGTGTCAAGTGTTTGGTTTGAGTCCAGATTAGAATTCAGGTCCTCCTGACTTCAGGGCCAGTGCTCTATCCATTACGACTACATCTTTCTTGTCCTGGAGGTACCCCCAAATGGCCAAGAGACACCTCCTAAACTTGCTAAAAGCTCCTCAGAGAGGATTCTCCTTTTTCAGCTGAGGAATTTTCTACTTGAAAGCAGCCCCTGATAATTTTTCTAACACAAAAGCTACTCAAGCCATAGAAGTTCAAGGTTGAGTTTTAAACGTCACAAGTGTTATTTCACATTAGCTGAGACTGACCTTTAAAAGGGTGGTTAGTGGTGTTATAATTGGTTTAGGTAGAGACGGAGTTGCTATGGCTTGTGACACTGGAGGCCAACCACAAGTCCAAGAATAGTCTTCTTTGGCTGTTGACCCTCACCCAAGTATTCACTGCTGACAAGTCACACATTTTTACCCGGAGGGCTGTGAATCTAAACCCATTTCGTTCACCAAGCATGTATTGAACACCCAGTGCCAACACTGTGCCTGGCACTTAGAATTCAGAGACAGAGACAAAAACAAAACAGGGCCTGCCCTTGACGAACTTACATTCTATTAGAAGTTGGGGGCATATACACAGATAAGAAAATACAAAATAGATAATAGATAAAATAATTTGGGAGGAAAGTATACCAGAAACTGAGGATCTGGGTAGGCTTCCTATAGGAAGTGAAGGAAGCTAGAGATTCTGAAAGGTGGAGGTAAGGAGAGAGGGCATTCCAGGCATGGGGACTATGCAAAAATACAAAGATAGAAGATGGAATATTATGGACAGTTATAGTAGCGGTATCTACACAGTGGCAGGGGAAAGGCTGAGATATTTCTCTGTTTCTGGTAGAAATGCCATCTTAGACATACTCCAGTATGCCTCAAGAGGGATAAAGCAGAGTTTCAGATCAATTGCCTTGGCAGCCAGGGAAGAATTAGATGAACTGAAGTAAATCAGATGCTCTATTTCAGAACTGTTTATCCATCCCTTACCCCTCTGTGGAGCCTTAGTTTCACATCTCCAGCTGCCTATTAGACATCTAAACTGGTTATCCTGTAGACATCTTAAACTCTACATGTCCAAAACTGAACTCATTATCTTCTCCCCCCTCAACCCTCCCCTCTCCTAACTTCCTTATTATTGTCACAGGTTCTATCATCCTTCTAGTCATTTGACTTGCAACCTAGGGTGTCATCCTTGACTCCTTACTTTCTCACCTCTTCACCATAGACCTGTTGATTGTGCCTGTACAACATCTCTCCTATCCTCCCCATTCTCTCCTTTGATACTACTATCATCTGTGTACGAGCTCTTTATCACCTAATGACTAGACTATTGCAATAGCCTTTTAGTTGGTTTCCCTGCATCAAGTCTCTCTCTCCTCTTTGGGCCATCTTCCACTCATCTATCAAAGTGCAGGTCTGACCATGTCACCGCTCTATTCAAGTAAACTCCATGTCTCCCTATTACTTCTAGAATCAAATATAAAATCTTCTATTTGAAAGCCAGTGCAACTAAAATTATAAGAGAACCAGGTAATTGGGAGGAAAGTTTTTGTGGCAAGTTTCTCTGATAAAGTCCTCATTTCTCAGGTGTAGGGGAAAACTAATGAAAACTTTGTACATTTGAACCACTCCTCAACTGATGATCAAAGGATATGAACAAGTACTTTTCAGAGGAAGAAATCCAAGCTTTCAATAGCTTTATGGAAAAGTGCCTCAAATGACTAATAATGAGAGGAATGCAAATTAAAACAACTTGGCAAAATTGTCAAAGAAAAAAAGACACACGCTTCAGGAGCTGTAGGAAAACAGGTGCATTAATGCTCTGTTGGTGGGGCTGTGAACTGGTCCAGTCATTTTGAAAAGCAATTTGAATCTATGCTCCAGTGATACCACTGGATGGGGAGAGGGGTCCATACTGCAAGGAGATCTGAGAAACAGGAAAAGTACCCCATGTACAAAAATATTTACTGTGGCTCTTTCAGTGGTGGTAAAGAACTGAAATCTGAGGGATTACCCACCAACTGGTGAATGGCTGTGCAAATAATGGTATGTGAATGTGATAGACCACTATTGTGCAGTAAGAAATGATGAATAGGGATAGTTTCAGAGAATCTTGGAAAGACCTGTATAACTGATGCAAAACCAAGTGAGCAGAACCAGGAGAATAATTTATACAATAACAATAACATTGTATACAGTAAAATAAAACACCCTCTTTCCTTACCTCTCCCTTTTGGCTATCCTAGCTTCCTATAAGTCTTAGCTACAGTCTCTGCTTTGGCAAGAACTTTTTCCTGGTCTGCCTTAATGCCAATGCCTCCCCTCTGAGATGATCTCCATTTTATCTTGATTATATCTTGTTTGTCCCTAGTTGTTTGCATGTTACCCCTCCACAATATTAGATTGTCCTCTTCTTGAGGGCAGGGGTTATTTAGACTTTTCTTTATATTTCCAGTGCTTAGCTCAGTGCCTGGCACATAGGAGTTTAATAATAATTGTTGACATGACTTGAATAGGGAGGACAAAGAATACAATCTAAAAAAATAATTAAAAAAGGACTAAGAAGGTAACTTAATGCTATGTAATCATACAGACCAAGCTTGGCCCAGAAGGAAAGATGAGAAAATACATCCCCCTCTCTTTTTGTAGAGATGAGGGCTAAGAGTGTGGAACAATGCATATGGTATCAGAAGCAATCAATGGTTGTTTTCCCGAGCTGCTTCTCCACCCTCTCTTTCTTTTTTTATTCTCAGTTACAAGGCATAGCTTTCTGAGTAAAGGAAGCAGGAAGGATATATTCAGAAATAGCATCGGAGATTTTGGACTGGAGGGAACGTCAGAGGCCAGCTAATGGAAACCCTTCATTTTACAGATGAGGGAATCGAGAAACAGGGAAGTTAAGTGACTCGCCCAGGGTTAGACAGGTAGTCAGTGTCAGAATCAGGATTTGAACCCAGGTCCTCTGACTCCAGAAGGAGTACCTTTCCCACTATAAAATAGAGGTGGTGTAAAAACAAAAGATATGAATAAATATTAAAAAACCAAATTAGATATGCAGCCAAGGTGGTAACTAAATTTATATATCTTTACCTTCTGATAAATTAACACCCCCCCTACTCTGGTGTGGGTATTAAGCACAGCCTCATTTCCCAAGATATTCTGAGTGGTAGGGACAGCAAGTCACAATACTTTCCACCTCCCTCCGTCAGCCACCTTCCCAGTGTACTAAGAGAGCACAGCTGCACCTCAGAGAACGATTTCAACAGCCCTGATGATCCACACAGCCCCCTTCCCCACCTGCTGAAGGCTGACTTACTCAGGTAGTTCCTTTTTTCATTGCTGAACCATTCCTGCCGGGAGGCGACGGGGTTGTAGCAAATCTGACTCCACCAGCAAAGGGATTACTTACCACCCCAGGACCCTTCCTTTATATACTTCGTCCTAGGAAATTCCACTTCTGTTTATCAGAGTGATGATGAAATCCAGCCCCAGGCTCAGTGGCTCCAGCTCTGCAGGCATCCCCGGTCACCAGCCCAACACTGTCGCTCTTCTTGGCAGTCACATGGCATGTGTGTGTGTTTTCTTAATGAGGGAAATGGAAACTCAGAGTGAAACTGAAATCAGTGCAAAGCAGGCAGTCACAAAAATTATTCTCAAGGCTGATGTCAGCTTCCTGTCTGAATAGAGGGAGAGTGTCTGGAAGAATGGAAGCAATAGTCTCACTGCATTCTGTGCTCATCAGGCAGTAACTGGAACATTTTATACAATTCAGAATACTGTATTTTTTTTTTAAAGAAATGTTTATTGATGTCTTTTGTTTTTTTTTATTTCATGGTAATTTTTATTTTTTTTTGTTTGTTTTCAGCATTTACTTCCACAAGATTTTGAGTTCCAAATTTTCACCCCATCTTGCCCCTCCCCCCACCCCAAGATGGCATGCATTCTGAATACCCCTTCCCCTACTCTGCCTTCCCTTCTAACTCTCCCCCCTTCTCTTATCCCCTTCCCTTTCAATTTTCCTGTAGGGCAGGATGGATTTCTTTACCCCATTTCCTGTATTTCTTATTTCCCAGTTGCATGTGAAAACATTTTTTTTAAACATGTGTTTTTAAAACTTTGGGCTCCAAATTTTCTCCCTTCCTCCCTTCTCCCTTCCTCCCTCCCCACCCACCCTCATTGATAAGGCAAGCAACTAAATATAGGTTATATATGTGCAGTTATGCAAAACACTTCCATAGTAGACATGCTGTGAAAAACTAACTCTATTTCCCTTAATCCTATCCTGCCCCCTATTTATTCTATTCTTTCTTTTGGCCCTGTCCCTCCTCAGAAGTATTTGCTTCTGATTACCCCTCCCCCAACCTGCCCTCTTCTCTATCATTCCCCTGCTCTCTTGTCCCCTCCCCCCCCCATTTTCCTGTAGGGTAGGACAGATTTCCCAATTGAGTGTTACGTTATTCCCTCCTTAAGTCAAATCCTATGAGAATAAGATTCACTCATTCCCTCTCACCTTCCCCCATTTCCCCTCCACTGTAAGAGCCTTTTCTTTTCTGGTTTGTTTTTGGTGAGATAATTTACCCCATTCTACCTCTCCCTTTCTCCTTCTCCTAGTATAATTCTCTCTCACCCCTTAATTTTATTCTCATGACCCCTTCATTTTCAACTCACCTCATGCCCTCTTTCTATCTATATCTATATATATGTACATATAATTTTTCCCCCTCCAATTACCTTAATACTGACAAAGGTCTCATGAGTTACAAATGTCATCTTTCCATGCAGGAATGTATACAGTTCAACCTTAATAAGTCTCTTTTGATTTTCTCTTTCCTGTTTACCTCTTCATGTTCCACTTGAGTCTTGTATTTGAAAATCAAATTTTCTATTCAGCTCTGGTCTTTTCATCAAGAATGCTTGAAAGTCCTCTATTTCACTGAATGACCATTTTTCCCCTGCAGGATTATACTCAGTTTTGCTGGGTAGGTGATTCTTGGTTGTAATCCTATCTCTGGGTAGGTGATTCTTGGTTGTAATCCTATCTCCTTTGCCCTCTGGAATATTATATTCCATGCCCTGCAGTCCCTTAATGTAGAAGCTGCTAAATCTTGTGTTATCCTGATTGTGTTTCCACAATACTTGAATTGTTTCTTTCTGGCTGCTTGTAATGTTTTCTCCTTGACCTGGGAACTCTGGAATTTGGCTACAATATTCCTAGGACTTTTCCTTTGGGGATCTCTTTCAGGAGGAGATCAGTGGATTCTTTCAATTTCTATTTTGCCCTCTGGTTCTAAAATATCAGGACAGTTTTCCTGGATAATTTCTTGAAAGATGATATCTAGGCTCTTTTTTTGATCATGGCTTTCAGATAGTCCAATAATTTTTAAATTCTCTCTCCTGGATCTATTTTCCAGGTCAGTTGTTTTTCCAATGAGATATTTCACATTGTTTTCTAATTTTTCATTCTTTTGGACTTGTTTTACAGTATCTTGATTTCTCATAAAGTCACTAGCTTCCAATTGCTCTATTCTAATTTTTAAGGAAGTATTTTCTTCAGTCATCTTTTGGACTTCCTTTTCCATTTGGCCAGTTTTTCTCTTTAGGGCATTCTTCTTCTCATTAGCTTTTTGGACCTCTTTTGCCATTTGGGTTAGGCTATTTTTTAAGGTGTTATTTTCTTCAGTATTTTTTTGGGTCTCCTTTAGCAAGCTGATGACTTGTTTTTCATGATTTTCTTGCATCACTCTCAGTTTTTCATCTACTTCTCTTACTTGTCAAAATCCCTTTTGAGCTCTTCCAAGGCCTGGGACTGATTCATATTTTTCTTGGAGGCTTTGGATGTAGGAGCTTTGGCTTTGTTGTCTTCTTTTGGTTGTATGTTTTGATCTTCTTTGTCACCAAAGTAAGATAATATAGTCTGACTCTTTTTACGCTGCTTGCTCATAATCCCAACCAATTACTTGAGTTTTGAACTCTTTGTTAAGGTAAAAGTCTGCTTCCAATGTGGAGAATGTACTGTCCCAAGCTTCGGGGGTTTGTACAGCTGTTTTCAGATACTTCTAGGGATCTGAAAATTTTCAGTTCTTCCAAGGTGCTATGATAAGGGGCGAGGTGTTTCCTCTCCACAGCCAAAACAAGCTCCACCGCACCAACACTCCTCCTCTTCCCAGGACTGCCCCTCAGAACTGTGACCCAGATCCAAGCACCGGTAAAGCAAGAGATTCCTGCCTCAGCTCTGGCAAAGAGAACCTGCAATCACCCTCTGATCAGCCACTTGATTCCCCCTCAGTCTGTGGGCCGGAAGCTCAGGAGGCAGCCGCGGCCCTGGGCCACGCTCCAGACTTGTGGCTGAGACCTAGCTCCTCTCTCACCACAGTCACAGACTTTTCCCACTGATCTTCTAAGTTGTCTTTGGCGTTCCTGGGTTGAAAAGTCTGGAAACCGCCACAGCTGCCTGCGATTCAGTCCTTTGAGGCCTGCTCCAGGGTCGCTGCGGCCAGTGCGCCCAGGCTGAACTGCGCTCCTCTCCCTGCCCGGCGCGATATACCTTTCTGATCAACCGTCCAGGCTGTCTTTGGCTGGAAATTTGTTTCACTCTGTCTTTTTGTGGGTTCTGCTGCTTTAGAATTTGTTTAGAGCCATTTTTTGTAGGTATTTGGAGGGGTTTGGGGGGAGAACTCAAGCAAGTCACTGCTTTCCCTCCGCCATCTTGGCTCTGCCCTCCTGATGTGTTTTGTTTTGATATCACCTAAATTTCTCTCGGTATCCTATCCCCTAGTTCTGGGTACTACATCTTAAGAGAAATATTGGCAAATTGGAATGACCCCCAGAGTCAGGCATGGAGGCTTGGGAGGCCATGGAAAGCATCTTACGAGGTACAATGGAAAGATTTGTGGTCTTCAGTTTAGAAAAGAGATCGAAGGGGAGGCATAATAGCTGTCTTCAAATATTTGGAAACTAGAATAGGAAAGAAAGTAGATTCTCCGCTGTAGGGGAAAGAATTAGGAGAAGGAAGTAAAAGTTATAAGGACGCAGAGTTCAGTTCAGTAGGAGAAATAACTTTGCAACAATGAGGGTTGTTAAAATGAAATGGGCTGTCTTGTGAAGAAGTGAGCTGTATGTCCAAGGATTTAGTGAGCTGCCTTGTAAAGTGATGAGGTCCCTATCCTTGGCAGTATTTAAGCAGTGACTGGATGACCGCATGTCAGAAATACTATAAAATAGATTCCTGCATCTGGAGGCAGGTTGAACTAGATGACTTTTAGGGTCTGTACCATTGTTAAGATTCTGTGATTCTATGAAGTCATAGCCAGTGAATGAGGGGGTAATTTTCAACAAGCATTTATTAAGCAAGTATATGCCAGCACATGTTTTTGCTGTTACATAGCATTTCTTTACAACTATTGGATAAAGCAGATGGTATGAGCATAATTTTTTTCAAATATTTTATTTTTTCCAATTACATGCAAAACATTTTTATCATTTACTTTTTAAAATTTTGAGTCAGGGTTGGAACAGAATCTGTTAAGCTTCAACTGAAGTAAAAAGGCAGAGGAAACAATCGTGACTTCAGACAAAATAAAAGAAAAAGAGAACTAATTAAAAGAAGTAATCAGGGAAACTACACTTTGCTAAAAGATACCATAGACAATGAAGTAGCAAAAAATTTATACAGCTAGTTTCTCTGATAAAGGCCTCATTTCTCACATACATAGGGAATTGAGTCAAATGTATAAAAAATAAGCTCCATTCTTCAATAGATAAATGGTCAAAAGATATGAACAAGCAGTTTCCAGAAAAAGAAATCAAAGCTATCTCTAGTCATATGAAAAGTGCTCTAAATCACTATTGATTAGAGAAATGCAAATTAAAACAACTTTAAAGTGCTGCCTCATACGTATCAGAAATGACAAAAGCTGGTGGTGATGAGGAGAAAATAGGTAGACTAATAAACTACTGGTGGAATTGCAAACTGGTCCAATTATTCTGCAGAACAATTTGGAACTTTGCCAGGCTATAAAAATGTGCATACCTCAGCAATACCAGACTCAGCAATACCATTACTAGGTCTGTATCTCAAAGAGATCAGAGGAAAAGAGTCTATGTGTACAAATTAGAGTAATTTTTTTGTGGTGGCAAAGAATCGGAAACTGAGGGGATGCTCTTCAGTTGGAGAATGGCTGAACAATTTGTGACATATGGTTGTGATGGAATACTATTGTGATATAAGAAATGACAAGCAGAGAGGTTTCAGAAAAAAAAAACATGGCAAGATCTTTATAAACATAGAAATTGATGTGAGAAGAACTGGGAGATCATTGTGCACAATGAAGTGTTACAGCAGTGTTGTAATGATGATCAACTGTGAAATCCATGGCTGATTTATTTTTAACATTCTTTTCTTTT